TTCTTGTAGATTCTATTGATAATCGATGAAATTTTTCAAATGTATCATATAAATCTTGTTCGATTTTAGCATATTTTAAAAATTCATTTAATGTATTCATAGATGATTCACGACGAGAAAGCTCTTTCTGAAAATCAGGATTAATTCCACTCATTAAATGTTTAATCATAATTTGTTCTGACATAGTTGGATCAATTTCTTTACATAGATTAACAACATCATCAAAATACGATGTAACTGGTTCATTATGTAATTGTTTTCGTTGTTTCAATAAATCAAATTTTTTATGAATCATTGTGGATGAGAAATAACGATTTCGAAATGCAGTTTCAAAATCTGACCATTTTTTAAATTCATGTTCATGATTATCGAACCATAATCCTGCTGATTGAATTAATTTTCCACGAACGATTTCGAGGATTTCATGATTTTCTGATTCATCGTTAGCCTTTGTAATATTTTTAATGCTTTTTAAAAAACGTTCGACATCCTCAGAAGAATGTCCAGAAAAATTTGGTAGATCATCGAATCTAGCTTTCCGCGCTTTAGCTAATAATGTTGTATCAGTCATTTGATTCATATTCGAAGATGATATCGAATTTATCGAAGAATTATTTCTAGATATTGTACGAGATAATGAATTTGTAATTATTGTGTACGGTAATAACTTTGTATTCTTTTTCTTGATTTGTGATCTTGTTCCCGTAGCCGTTTTGATTATATTATATGATAAATAATTATTGTTAATGTAATTGCATCAGTGTATGAATCGATATAATGCAAAAAATATGAACGAAATTCTTCTTAGAATCTCTGTTTATAATTGTTTATCCCAAGAAATTTATTTGATTTATTTTACGTTGATTCCCCTCCTCTCAATGTAGAATTTGATACCCAAAAAAAAATTTTGCAATATTAGTTTCTTGTTTGAAAATTATACGGTTTACTCAAAAGTATTCCTGATAGTCCTTAAATGAATAATTTCATTGCTTAGAAAATATTTTCTCACCTATAAATGAATTACAATGTTTAATACCAATTAATAATTTTATTTGTTCAAAAAAAAACAAAAAACAATTCAAGTCTCTATATGCAGAGGCTTTTATATGAATATATGAACGAGTCTCTTTTCACGAGAGGCTCTATTTATTATGAATTATAACTTAATGGAATTAATTAATGATTGATTCTTGCTGGATGTTGGTGGATTTTCTTCTTTTTCTATTTTTTTTATTTGCTGGATGTTGTTTTGCCAGGGTCGCCAAAATGTTAGAGTGAGAGATGTATTGTGTGTACGTACAACGTGTACGTTAACTTTATTTAACAAGAATGTCCTTGAATATAATAGTTACATCTTTATATAGAGAGAAAAAACAAGAGAAGAGAAGAGAGAGAAAGAAGAGAAACAAATCCAGATCAAAGAAGATGAAAGAGGATAGAGGATGACATATATAGATATATAGAGTTGTATGCGAGCGACATCCCTGTAACATACTCCCCTATTGGAAAAAAATGTGTCCTATCTACATTTTATGTATAGATAAATATACATTCATGTAAATAACACAAGAATACAAAAAATAACAAAAACTAAATGTTCAAATAGAAACGATATATAAGAAATCCAAGTAATAATATAAGTAATATAACGAATAGCTAAATATGAAAAATAACAAAAACTTTTTTCTTTTTTCTTTTTTTTCCCTTCTTCTTCAAAGAAATCACAGTTAAATCACAAATGTTTCGATCATCTTTAGAGATGATCTGATATATGATGGTTGCTTTTTTTTTTATATGAGGTGTAAATGTAAATTTATTTATTTGTGACTGCGGTGATGATGACGATAATTATTCGAATGTAATTCACGTTGTTGATATCGAAATTCATTATAGTGTGCTGTTGTGAATAAATGTCGTGTTGCATGTTCAGCTTGTGACAATAATGTTCGATTTTCTATTCCAATGTATAATGAAGTACGATTTGTAGTCGATGATGTTGCTTTATTTATGGCAAGAAAGTTTATTTTATGTGCTCGAAGAATTTGTTTGATCTGTGAGATAGAAAATCGATTATCTATACCACGTCTGATGAATTCATGTCGGTATAATTTTTTCCGTTGTTTCAAAGTACAACTTCTATTGTGTATTTTTCGTTTTTCATCGATAGTTAATGGTGCCAAATTTGTTGGATTATTACTCGAGTGTATTGTATGTGATAAATTGATTTGTGGTGTTTGTGGAATGTTTTCATCATCAGATATTTGTTCGAGTTCATTATCATCATCAGATATTTGTTCGAGTGTTGTTGTTGTATTAGATAATTCCCATTGTCGTTCATTCGATAATTCACGTTGAAGTTCATTCGATAATTCACGTTGACGTTCATTTAACAATATTGTTCGTTGTTGTGGTGATGTTCGTTGCTCTTGATCATCATCAAATAATATATTATCATATGGTGCTCGTGTATATTGTTGTAGAGATGGAATATTTGTTGATGATGTTGCTGCAACAATTTGAAATGATGAATCGTGATCAATTGATGTAATTAATTCAGGTTGTTGAAATAATTCAATTGCTTGTTGTTCATTATCAATTATTTGCATGTCGATTAGTAATTGATGCATAGATAAGCAATCATTGACGGCATAATTGATCATAACATTTCGATGTTCAAGTTCATTTGAATTTCGATGAAACAAGGTGGAGTCAAGACCAATATCGAATGTTGAGCAAGTATAACGTTTATCCAACCATTTATGGAGTTGATACGCTACCGCATCTTGGAGTGACCAAGGGTTATTCAATTGAATATCAAGGCACTGTTCACATATGCATGATATATCATTGTTAGTTGATAATAATGTTGATTGATGAGGATGATGTTCATGCCAATAATTTTTAAATCGATTTTGTAAATTAATATTATTCGACAAGTAGATTTGATCTAATGAAAATAAATTAAATTTTGAGAATTTTTCTAATTCATTAATAGATCCCCAGATATAGATATTTTTACTGGATTCGAATAAATACTCAAATAGCCGTTGAATTAATTTAAAGGTGTGTTCATCTGGATGTGGTAAATGACAAACTTCTATAAGTATAATATATGAAAATAAATTTTCTTGTATTATTTGTAATTGAATAAGGGCTGGTTTATTTGGTTTTTTATAAACGCAAACCGATTCTGTATCCAAAGTAAATGATGTTGCATTTTTTACAGCTTCGATAATATTATGTAATGTTTGTGCATTGGTGTTACGATTGATGAAAAATTGTTGATAAAGATATGGTTCAAATGGTGCAAAACGAGATATAAGTTCATGTTCATGAAGTTTCTTTTTCAATGTAGTACGAAGATTTTGACGTGGTTTTCCTTTAATCGATTCTGGTATATTATCAAGTTGCCATTTAATTTTTTTATGTTCGTTTACGGATAACATGACTATAATAGAGAAAAAAATATATTTAATAACGATCGATTCACTAGATAGCGAATCTAAAAAAATATGTTAATCGATTCTCATAGGGCATAGGAATCTATCATTAGTTGTATCAATTAGATGGTGAGAAAAAATATAAATCAGAACTATATTCTACAGTATCAGTCATTGTAAGATATGTCAATCATAAAAGTTACGAAATCGTCTATTCTA